ACTTTTTTCTCCCTTCAACATAAATTTGGTTTAACTTCTAGAGAAATATTCACTTATTTGAGAGTGGGGAAAAAAAAACTCACCAGATCTTACATCTAATAGGTTGTGTCTTAGGGAATAGACAGATTTATAATATATCTAAAATTTTTAACAAAATAGTTCCATGCTATAAACCTTTAGGACTCTTGAAATGGGAGAAACATTTTGGAAAAATCTTTTCAATTGAACAATGAGATGAGAGTATATATTTAATTAGAAAGTATATCCACTGTGTTGCCCTAACTGATTCATATTAAAAATTGTTATATCAATGATATATTGCTCCAACAAAACTACAAACAATTTTAAGATCACATCCAGATATATGTTGGAGATGCCTTCTAGCCAAGGGTCTCTCATATATGATGGGACTGCACACTCTTTAGCAAATTAAATGAACATCTTATAGTATTGTTGAATCATATATTTAATTATATTAATTTTATCTCCCCCTAAATATTTATATTAAAAATGGAGCTTTCAGATCATACTAAAGACCATAAGAGTTGTATTACTTACATGTTATTTGCTGTGAAAATTTGCATTGCTAGAAAGTAGAAAATTCCTTAGGAAGTAAAATGATTCAAAATAGTCAATCAAATTGAACACCAGTACAACATAGAACATGGATATTATCTTTCCGTTGGTAAATTGGAAAAACATAAAAAAAATTTGGCTCCTTGGAAATATCAGAATAGAACCTACATTTTCTTATTTAATTTGCATCCCATTTGTCGGGTACTTTAGATCTAACTCATAATTTTGTCCAGTATGAAGGGTGCTGTTATGTATGTAAAGTAAGAATTAAGGAAAAAAAATATTTTGTAGAATCATCCTTTCCATGCATTATACTTATCATGTGTAACAACAAACTTGTCATTATTCAAGAAGTTTTGCTATATTTGTTATGTGAAAAATGAAAAAATATAAATAAACATTTATAACAAAAAAAAAAACAGCACAAATATAATGGGTATGTAAACATTAACCCTTAACCCCTTAATGACGAGTGACGGACGAGGTCCATCACTCAGGGGAAACCCTTAACGACGAGTGACGGACCTCGTCTGTCACGCGGTAAAATTAACCCGTGATCGCGGCGATCACAGGGTTAATGGTGCTCTGGTCTGCCTCTGTATTAGAGGCAGACCGGGAGCACCCGATAGTGCTGCCCCAGCACATGTGCTCGCTCTGACAGCCTGTATACTCACCTTCCGCCTCCCTGTACTTGCAGGTTCACTGTGAAGTGCAGGGAGATGGATCATCACTGATCTTGTCCCTGTTAGAAAAAAAAAATAAAGTTAATTTAAAATCCCACCCTCATTTACCCATTTTAATAAAAAATTAACCCCTTCCCTGCCAATTGATTACTGACTACAGTGATCAATTGGCAGGAATTACATTTTACTATGATCTGATTTTTTTTTTTTTTTTTTAACCCCTGAGGGTTAATTCTTTTTTTTTTTTTTTGCCCTTAGGGGTTTAATTTATTTTATTAATTAATTTAAGTATTTTAAAATTATAAATTTAGCTTGCTGAGGTGGGTGGAAGTTAGTGGGGAATTGGGGGATTTTGTGTTAACTAGGGGTTAACGTTAAAAAAAAGGTTTTAAAATAAGCTTTAAAAAGTTCAAAATTAAGTTTAATAACGTTTAAGTAAAAAATAAAAAAACACCCCCCTCTAGCCAGTCCAAATAAAAATTAACCCCTTCCCTGCCAGTCGATCACTGCCTACAGTGATCAAAATACAGGTCACAGTATTATACTGTGATCTAATTTTTTTCAACCCCTGATGATTAACTTTTATGTATTTTTTAAACCTCAGGGGTTCAATTTATTTAATTAATTAATTTAAATATTTTATAATTATATACTCTGCTAGCTGGGGTGGGTGGGAGTTATGGGAAAATGGGGAATTTACTGTTAGTGGTGCTTACTGCTAGTTAGGGGTTAACAGTAAAAATCTGTAAAATAAGTTTAAAAAAATTAATAAGCAAAAAAAGTTTAAAAACTATTTTTAAAAAGTAAAAAAAAGTTTTATAAAGTAAAAAAAAATACATTTAAAATCGCTCATTACCACTACACCTGGAACAAACTAGAGAAAAAATGATCCCACACCAAGGTTCAAAATATGCCTTTTGAATTACCCCAGGGTGTATTCTTTAATAAATAGTATGTGTTTGTGGGGAAGTTTCAATAACCAACCGTCTAAACTACTCCAAATAGGAACATGGACACAGCGTAAAACTTCAAAGTTAGAAAAAA